AATGGTTATGTGACAAAACTGCTACGTCAACGCAGTCAGTCAGCATCTTGCCAAGAGGTGTGAGCGCCGTGCCTCGGCAGAATTGAGGGTGCTAATTTGGGCCCGCTTGTGCTTTCGGCCAAATCATGAAACGGTGCCGGGCCTGGGCGTCTCCCGTTAATTGACGCCCAATTTATGGATGATGGAAGGAAATAGACTGCGTTTAGGGCCGCTGCCTGGGGGTCGCCGGGGCGCGTCTGGAGCTGGCGCTGGACGCGACAGCATGCGGGCCGCCAGCCGAGTGCGAGGTGCTGCACGACCACCTAGCAGCCCCTCGCATCCATCATCCCCACCAGCTGGCTTGGTGTTGGCAGGGTCTTCGCGGGCCCAGCAATCAGCACCCGCCACTGGTGGAGTACGCCGCATGCGTTGGTCAATGCAGATGAATAGCAACGCATTGCGGGCGTATTTTAGGGCGAAAGGGGGAGAAATTGGAGGTTTTGCGTATCGGGCTAGGATGCATCGACTTTTTGCTGAGCTGGAGCCATCTATAACCGTCACCGAGCAAAACCTGGCAGACCGAGTTCGGTATATCTTGCGCTCAAACATATTCGATAGCACCGAACTCGAACGGCTACGACGTGAGGCTGTACCCTCATCGGATGACAATGCTACGGCTGAGGATGCGGCGCCACAAAATGCAGAGCAACCAGCACATGTGGATGCCGCCGTGAATCTTTCAGTTATGGTTGGTTCAGACGATGATGGAACAGTCGCCCAGGAACTAGAACTAGAGCAAATGAGGAGTACATTGGAAGAGGCTATTTTGGAAACGCGCAGTATGCCTCTCGAAAATCGACCGCGACTCCCGCGCATGCCCCTAAGCAAGCGGAATCGGGCTGTCGTGAGGGCTCTCAACCCAATGCTGGTGACCTATTTGGAAGCCAGCCGGGACCTTTGCGAGACGGACTCAATTCTTTTTGGCGCCGCACTGGCAGTTTGCCGCATTATTGGCGCCAAAGTTCCCACGGCTGGACGCGCTACTAGACAAAGTAGCGCCATCCCAGCCTGGAGAAGAAGGATTGAGGACCGTATCGCAAAGGCAAGGGCCTTTATCGGCAGACTGTGATAAGCTTCAGGTCAGGCAATAATAGGCCGAGAATTGTGCGCGTCAGGATGGCGTTTGCTGGGACAAATATCAGTTTGTCCCAGCCGGATATAACGCAAAAACTGACGGAGCGCATAGACGACCTGAAGCAGAGAATCGCTGCTTGGGGGAAGCGGATTCGGCGATATACCGAGAGGTCGACACGGTTCAACCAGAATCGTCTCTTTCAGAGTGATCAGAAGAGGCTCTATGAATCACTAGAGCGACCAATGGTACGTGGAACGGGCCCAGCACCGAATCAGGCCGACACTATCGCATTCTGGCGCGGCCTGTGGTCAGAGCCCGTAAACCACAGCGAGGGCCCTTGGACGGAAGTCGTGGCGAGTCAGTGTGCGAATGTTACGCCCATGGACCCCGTCGTCATAACGCCGGATGACGTAGCTGAGGCGGTCCGTAGGGCCCCGAATTGGAAAAGTCCGGGACTCAACGGACTGCATCACTACTGGCTGAAGGGGTTCATGGTGTGTCACACTGTGCTCGCCCGACAGTTTCAAGAGGCTCTCGACCAAAAGTCGCTCCCGAGCCTCTTCACTACTGGGATCACTCATTTGGTTCCTAAGGACCGGGATTCCACAGACCCGAGCAAATACCGCCCCATAACGTGTCTACCTACCATATACAAGACACTAACATCCATTTTGAGCGCGAGAATCATTTGTCACCTGAACTCAAACCAGGTGATGTCGCGCGCTCAAAATGGATGTCGGGGCGGTGGTCGTGGAACCAAGGAACCACTCCTCATTGACGCGGTCATTGGCAAGGTGGTTAAACGCAACCGTCGGAACCTCTCCGCCGCCTGGATAGACTACAAAAAGGCATTCGACTCGGTGCCTCATACATGGCTTAAGAGGGTCCTCGAGCTGTACAAGGTTGACTGTACAGTTCGAGACTTCCTCGGGCAGTGTATGGGGCAATGGAGTACGATCCTTTGTCATTTAGGCGAGCGGATGACGGCTGCGGAGAACCACATAAGGATAAGAAGGGGTATCTTCCAGGGCGATTGTTTGAGTCCAACCTGGTTCTGCCTCTCTCTGAACCCTCTCAGTACCTTACTGGAGGGCTCCGGGAGGGGATTTCAGCTTCGGAGAGGAGGTACAAAAGTGACCCACCTTTTCTATATGGATGATCTCAAATTATTCGCCTCCAGTCGCTCTGATCTTATGGAATTGCTAAACATTACTTGTGATTTTAGCAATTCTATTAGAATGGAGCTGGGGAAGGATAAGTGTGCGATCCTCCATGTCGAAGGGGGAAGGGTTGCTAACTCTGAGGGCATAGACTTATCTATGCCCATCAGCATAAGGACCCTTTCCGAGACTGAAACATACCGATACCTGGGTATGTCACAGAACATCGGTGTAGATGAGTCGGGTATGAAACGGTCAGTTTGCGATGTGTTTTATGCACGCTTGACCAAAGTGCTTAATAGCCTTTTGTCCGGTGTGAATAAGACGCACGCATATAACGGTTGGATCATGCCTGTTCTCATGTATACCTTTGGCATACTCAGGTGGACTCAGACCGAACTGAACGCTCTGGACAGAAAAGTCCGCACTATAATGACGTCCCACAGGATGCATCATCCGAGATCGTCAGTAATGAGGCTGTACTTGCCGCGAAAGCATGGTGGGCGCGGCTTTTTAAGCGCGCTTATCATGCATAATCGCGAAGTGTGCAGCCTCCGTAATTACTTTCTGACGATGCTCCTCGATACCGCCCGCATCGTCCGCCGGTTTCTTTCCCTTTCCCCCTAACCCTTGGTCGTTTGGTCTCCCCTGCCGAGGGCTTCCATCTGGTTGGGTTTTTTTTATATATTTATGTATTTTTTATGTATTTATACTATTTTATGGATATTTATGTATGTTTATATAGTTCGTTTATAATTATATATTTAAACAGCCCAACCAGATGAGAAAACTTTATAGATAACCCCAATAATAATAAATAATTTATTTCGTCAAAGATTAAAGTTACATTATATAATAAGTGATCGAGGTCACCTAGTAAGCAAAATAATGTCTGTAACAGGTGACTTCGCTCTTCCATAGCTAAAAGGGGAATGCCCACCGTTCATAGACACTTTGGCCATGAGTGCCCACATATAAAAGCATATGGAAATGATAATATGCAATTAAGAAAATGAAATGGTTAAGGAATTGGTTTAAAAAAAGTCCGGATTTTTAAGATATAAAGGTTTTTCATTTTCACAAGAACACTTTTTAACAACAAATAACTTCGTATTTTCGTGACATTTAAACCACAATTGATACACCGTAAATGTCCTCTTGAATGAGTTACTGAGAGCTGGGAAGAACTCTGGCCGGCGTGAAAGCTGGGGTCATCGTTAACAGTGGATATCGAGTCCAAGTTCGTGCAGAAGTGGCAGCGGGATTCATTTTCAGGCCGTGGTCAATAGGGTGAGAAGAATTATCGGAGTCCATTTAGAAAGCTTATTCGTTGTTTAGATTACAAATCTGCGAGAAAACAAACAAAATAACACTAATCCAAAGGAATTCGACTTGTGACTATTTAGTTTTAATAATTATGACATGGGCCTAGCTGTCAGATTCGATGTTGCCAATTAACAGACATAAAATCGATAAATAAATAGGGATCTTTTTATTCGATTTATAATTTCATAAAAAAGAATAGTCTTTGATTCGCTTTAAGATCTGCGCTTCTTTTAAAATATGTTTTGTTTTATTTATTTTAATTCCATTTTAAATGTATTTTTAAGAACAGATAAGATTAACAGTTAAAATGTGCAGTAGCGTTTTTGATATGGTATAAAGAGTTCATGGTAAATCAACTAGCACTTCGCTTGTTTAATTATCATAACATCATAATAATTATCGAAATATAATATCACCATTATAATAATGACACCATAAAGAATCGATTGAAAAAACAAAATCGACATTTTTAACGAGATTTGTGATTGGCAACACTTTTTATTTTATCCACAAACTAATGAATTCCGGATTTACCTAATTTCATTTTTATCTTTTCGGTACTTTTTTTTGTGCAAATATATTGCAATCTTTTTTGGATACATAAATACCGCGATTAATTACCATAAAAAAGATGTATTTTTTTAACAAATGCAAATTGTTGGGCGTTTCATGGCCAGAATTGGGCATTCCCCTTTACAGTATTATTAACGAAATAAAGTAACTAATAGGGAATAATAAAGACAGTAAAACCATGATTTTAGTATCCTACCTTTTCATTTATTACAGACGTACACAGTTTCTAGTTTCTAGTTTGGGACAGTTTTTAGATGGAATCAGGTTACAGTTTCAGAAAACAGTTTAACGGTTTATCATTTCGATTTTATATACAGAGAGTTTTCCTTTTTTTCTAAATAAATGCATTTATATGTAAGTTATATATTAAATAACAATATACTCGGTAAAAAGGTACCTCAAGGACTTTTATTAGGACCATAATTATTTTTCATATTTAAATAAATAAATATGTGAGTCGTAAAGACAACTAAGGGAAATTTTAGAATAGTCTTGTGATTACGAACGGATATCAAAGTAAACATACACAAATATTTAAGTTTATATAAGACAAGGCAATGTGATCCTAAAAGTAAATTAATAAAACTTGAATGAATCAAGCTTTGAATTTACATATTGTTTAAGCCTCTTAAAGATAATTCGATAGCTACACTAAAAATTCAATGGCAAGGACGATTGTAGGAGGGAGACAGAGGTGGCACACCACCGTAGCGAGTGATGTTAGCGTAAGGTAATGCGGCCCACCTGGAAGTAGCGAGTAATGTGAGCGTATAGTGCGGCTCATCAGGAGGTAGCGAGTGATGTTAGCGTGGGGTAGCACGGCTCACCTGGAAGTAGGCGCAGGTCTTCTCGGCGCAGTGCGAGCCCTCGTCGGAGCCGTCGCCGCAGTCGTTCTCGGAGTCGCACTTCCAGGTGGCGGGCACGCAGCGCCCGTTGTCGCACTGGAACTGCGACGCGCCGCACGTCACGTTGACGCAGCCCGTCTCGTCCGAGAAGTCGCCGCAGTCGTTCTCCGAGTCGCACTTGAACGTGGCCGGGATGCAGCGCCCCGACTTGCACATGAACTCCGACGCGCTGCATGTCGTCTCTATATGTCAAGTTACGACAGCTTTTTAAGGAGTATCTAGTACACGAGCTAAATTAGGGCCGTTTTAACATCTAAGACTGTTGTAGTTTATAATAAGGAAAACAAATTTATCTAGATTTATGTTGGAGTACACGAATGTAGCCTTTTAATGTAATGTCATGAATCCAAGTTCGGCTAAAATCTGGATGTTTCTAGTTCACTGAGGTAAAACTACACCTGTAATCGATTTCTTTTATTTACATTTGATTGCAGGTTGGCTATAACAACTACTTTTTTGCAAAATTTTGATTTGATTCGCTATCATACACTAAGGCCGGTACGACAAAGACAATTCCGAGTTCAAGCTTAAACCTCACAATGTACGAATTTGTGAAAACAGTTTGGCTTTGACTAAAATTTTGAAACTGTTTAGTTTAAGTTTAAGCGTGAGGTGGTCTCGGAACTAACTTTATTTCTTAAAATACAAAATAACAGCCTGAAATACGTGTTATAAGTCGTCTCAATTTATAAGAAAAATGTAAACATTTTCTTCGTTAATGAAATAATCTAAAAACACAGTGAAGTGCAATTGGCAAATAATACAATAATTAACTGAAAAAGAAAGTCATTAAACTCACTGGTACAATTTTGCTCCTCATCGCTGTTATCCAAGCAGTCGTCGTCACCGTCACACACCCAACTTTTAGGGATACAGCGCTGGTTGTTACACGTAAAGTCCCAGGAGTTGGGACACGCCTGCACCGGTGGTTCTGCATTCGGATCTGCGATACAGCTTGTGCCATCTGGGGCTAATTTCTCTCCGTACGGACATCCACATTTCACCGTTAACAATTCCGTATTATTTCTGGGTATTGCGAAACAAAGTTTTTGGCAGTTACCATTGTTATGGGCACAAGGTTGCATTGGATCAATTTTTTGCACCTCTTGACTGTATACTTTGACGCCATACAACCGGTTCGTTTGCGGTTCTCTTACCATAATTTCTTCTTGCTCACCCGTCAATTTGTGTAAGCGAACAATCGCATCGAGTCTCCAATCAGTGATGTACATGAAATCTTTGTGAATTACTATAGAGAATGGATGTCTTATTAATCTTGAATTAATAGTTTTCACATCAGTTCCATCCAGTTTAGAATGTTGCACGTGATCTAGTAAAGCGTCACACCAGTACAGTCTGTCAGCATCGAAGTCTATTGACAATCCATTGGGCCATCCTAATGTAACATTTTCGAAGACGAGTAGACCGCTGCCGTCTGTATTAGCTCGACTGATGTTAGCCGGTCGGTCCCATTCCGAAAAGAATATAAAACCTTTGTTAGGATGAACGACGATAGCACGTGGTCGTTTTAGATCTTTAAGAAGTGTTCTTTTGTAGCTGACATTTCTCGTGGACAAAACATTAAGAGTGCCTTTTCTAGAATCGATATAGTACAAATTTTTCGAAGCCCAATCAACAGCCAAGCCTTCAACGCCCTCATTCTGGGATGCTAAAACTATTTCTTTGGTTGTACCATTTCTATGAATCCTATAAATAACATCTTGTAACACATCCGAATAATAAATATGTTCGTCACGTGCATCAAAATCGAGACCAACAAATCTAGCCCGTCTTGACACCACTGGAAGTATGGCTTCACTGAATCCTTCAATAACCGGATCTAGAACTTTACCCTTGATAAATCTCTGTTGAGAGTACATTAGGAACTCTTTAACGATATCGCAATTTCTTAAATCTGTCTCTAGCCTGTAGCCAATGTTACACGCGCAGCGGTATCCAAGTCCACCATTTTGTAATGCTGTTACAATGCACATTTGTGAGCAGCCTCCATTATTGGTCCCACATGGATTGTTCACCGATGTTTGTTTTAATGAATGCACCACAGTAATTGCTTTAGGATTAATAATGTCTTTCATTTTATATATCGCTTGTATGCTACTAGCTCCTTCATATTTACTCACAGAACTTATTCCCTGTTTGGTGTTGTCAGACCAGTAGACTCTGTCTTCGAAGAGAGCCAGTCTGGAAGGTCCGGGGACCTGCTGACCTCTTAGGACGAGGAATCTATAGTTTCCATCATAGTCGACCGTTTCGATATAGTCAAGCAACGAGTCGCACCAAAATATTCTCCTTGCAATTATGTCCACAGTTATGCCTGATGCTTTATACGTTGCTTCCGATACTATTGACTTTGCATGGGTACCGTCCATGTTTGCACGAACAATCTAAAAAGGAAAACAAGTGAATTTTAAATATGCTGTAAATATTATTACTCTAGAAAATTATAATAATTTAAAACTGAGTATAATTTGCAGGAATTATGTTAATTTTTTTACAATTGAAAATCTCAATATTTGTAAAAAATATAAATATAACGATTGTTTTTTTTTATTAATCATAGAACTTTATAATTTATATTAGCGGTGTCACCATTTCTTATCATCATCATCATCATCATCATTACAGACCTTCATAAGTCCACTGCTGAACATAGGCCTCCCCCGAGGAATGCCACAAAGCACGGTCCTGAGCCACCTGCTTCCATCTACTTCCTGCATGTCTTACCAGTTCGTTACTCCATCTAGTGGGGGGTCGCCCTACACTTCGCTTACCGGTACGAGGCTGCCATTCGAGAACCTTTCTTCCCCATCGGTTGTTGGTTCTTCGAGCTATATGGCCGGCCCATTGCCACTTCAGCTTACTAATCCGTTGGGCTATGTAGTTTATCACGCAGAGAAAACCCGAGCATAGCTATTTCTTATGTATATTATTAATTTTGTTTCATTCATTACAGCCTAATGTTCACTGCTGAACATAGACCTTAGATCGCCTCATAAGGGGGATATTTGCCATATTTGCCGCGCTTAGTAGGCAGGTTGGCTAACGTAGTTTTTTATTTTCTAGTTGTGAATTTGACGTTGCTGCCTATCTCCTGGTTTATTTTCTTTTATTACGACACCCACGGGACAATATGGGGTAGTGGATATTATCAGATATGTCAGATGTAAAATATAAATTTATAATGGCTATGCAGAGTAATGTCAAAGACGTGAAACTGGGACAGTGATTGCCAATCCGCATAAAGATCGTAATAATCACAGTAAATAGATACTCTCTTCTATGAGTGCGGCCGGATCAAGAGCAGTTCACTGGCTGATAGTGATGACGATGCACAATATACAGGTGTCATTATTCACTGTTTATGTAACTATATCCTCTATCTATTTCTCTCTCTCTCTCTCTCTCTCTCTCGCTGTTGTATGGGGTAGAGTTTTCTGGAGTAATTCTCTAATGAGTGGAAGTTCGTTCCAAGATTAAGACGATAAAAGAAGAAGACGGTTCGAATTTGGCGGATGGGGGCTAGGCGAGAAAATGAGTAAGATTTTTCCCTTTTGACGTAGTATAGACGGCCTTGGCGGCTGTGAGGAAGCGAGATGGAATTATATGCATCTCCCTCGCACTTTTTCTTATGTTGCCATGAAAGAAATATTATTTTATTTTAAATGACGCTTCATTCTAATAGACGCTAGTAATTCATTTGTTTGTATTTGTTAATAATATAATACGTTTATTAATAATAATATACTCGTACTACGATAGGAACTTCGTTCCAACTGAGTATTTCACGACAATCACGCGTGCTTTTTATTTCTGTAAGTTTAAATACTAATTCTAATAACACATTTAAATGGAGCCCTGTGGTTATTATTATATATATTTATATAAGATGTCTTGAGTGACTGACTCATCTATCAACATTTAGAAATCTAAAATTTGTATAGTAGTTACATTTTATAATATAGGCATGTGTACCTGGCTGCTGTCGGCCACGAACATGAGGCCGAGCGTGGGGTCCAGTGCGATGTCGGCGGGGCTGGTGAGGTTGGAGCCCAGTACCACGGCGTGCCAGCGCCCGTCCAGCTCCAACACGTCCACCTTCTGTCCGACGGCGTCCACCACGTACAGCTTGTCGCCCACCCAGTCCACGGCTAGAGCCACGGGCGCCCAAGAGCCAGCCGGCGCGATGTCGCTGCCGTATACTGGCAGGCTGCCGGGTAGTCCGCCTGCCGAGTTTAGCGGCTGCGAGTGGATCTGCAATGTGCGCCACGCACCTCGTACTCATATTATTTATAACAAAAGTACTTTTTCCATATTTTGTTTTAATTTTTTTACAGGGTGACAAACTAGCACACAGACTACCTGATGGTAAAAGGGCTGCTATGGCTCATTGATATATACATATAAAGGAGAAGTTAATGAAAAGTGTATAAAAATAGCGTTAATGGCTTACAGTTGTAGCTTTTAAGTAATTTAAATTTTAAGCTACGTCACGCCAGAGATGTTGTCTGTGTCATTTACAATTACAAATCATAATATACAATATTTAATTATAAACAATATTAAATACCATATTAAAAAAACTAAAATTAGTGATTTAATTAACAAACAGTCCTATTTCTCGTGGTATCGTGCCAAGAACGTCGGCTATACTTAGCATTTGGGCGAGAAAAGAGCCAGCGCTCTTATCACCAGCAGCTACGACTAGTCGCGGATAGAATTCCTTTAGGAACTTTTTTCCTTTAGGAGGATTTTACGGACCGATAGTCTTCTTTTTATTATGCCATTTGTCTCTACAGCAAATGGCACAAATATGTAGTTATATCTTAGTGACTCATATTTGCGCCACTTATTCGGTTCAGCTGCCTCTGATGCCGCTCTGGTTATAAATGAAGTACCCCTGAGATGAGAGGCCGCTGAAGTGTCTACGCAAGTAGTATCCCACACTACGGCTTTACGTTTCACTTAAGGGATCAATTTCATACCGTTGGGTCTCTTGCTATCGTCTCCAAATATTCCACAAGGTTTTAAAACTTTAAAAAAAAATGGGAAAATTTATAGAGACAAGGGCCCTTGGGATGAGATCATTTAAATAATTGTGCCGTGAAAACCTATCAGCACTTTTCTTACATGAAAGTCTGTGGAGCCCAAACGTGTCGACGCTGCTACCATAAGGGCATTGATGGGGTTGACAAATCGCCGCTCCCAGTCAGATTTCTACAGCGATGTGCAAGATTTCCTCATCAAGTAATGTGTCGGGATTACTTACAAATGGTAGATGATGGGTGGATTCGATCAGAGAAGGACTACGGTATGTTTTGTGGGGTGAGTGTAGAGAACTACACACCCTTTTCATTGAGAAGGAGACATTTCACTTTCGTTCACCGAGGTGATATGTATTTTAATACATAATCGAGAATATAAGTGTAGGGGTCACAGAATATATTTAGATTGTGTGCTTGTTTATCATCCTCATTGTATAAAAAATAGTACGGGAGTTGTTAAGCTACAGGTGGAGTGTTGTGGGGGTTGTCGGTGTGAGGTGGAAGAGAAGTGCATACCTTGCGCGTCTTGAGGTCGGACCAGAAGAGCAGGTTGCGGCGGTAGTGGAAGTCGAGGCCGGCGGCGGCGGAGGCGTTGGCGAGCGGCGTGGCGGCGGGCGCGGGCGAGGGTGCGGGCGCGGGCGCCAGCGCGAGGCGCAGCAGGCCGCGCGCGTGCGCCAGCGCCAGCCAGGCGGCCGCGCCGCGCGCCGCGCAGCGCCCGCCCGCCTCCAGCGCGTAGCCCGGCGCGCACGCGCACGTGTACGCTGCACCACACCACGCACCGCACCAACGTTACATACTATCTTACGTACTGCTACGCTGCAGCTATATTGTAATTGTACCACGATAGGACCACGCCCTCACAGAATACCAGCGTGAAATAACAACTCAATGCTGTCATGTTTCGTATGGTGATTATAGAAAACTGAAACCCCTTTTTACTGGAAAGGAGGCATTCTGAAGCGACAATGCATCTGCACTTTGATTCTTAACTGATGATAGATGTAATGTCACCTTTATTCTAGAAAAAAATATATGTAGAAACCAAATGATTATAGATAGAAAAAAACATAATGATTAATTTACTTTTTGGTATAAAAGAAAAAATCTCCTTGTTTTATACCCAAATGTATACATATTTCATTCCCATACATATATTACACATAGAACGAAGTACAATACATTTACGCCTGCACGCACGCGTGCACTTACATGATGACCCAAATCACTTAGATTTAATATCACAACACAATTCACGATCGGTCATCAACCACGCTAAGAGTAGTTATGCTGACGCGATTAAACAGCATATAGCCATATTAAAAATTATTTTAATATATTTACACGATCGCAATTACTTCTGTAACCATTTTTAACCAATTAATTTTTTGAACTTTATCATCATCACCATCATCATTACAGCCCTACACAAGTCCACTGCTAAGCATAGCCACCCCCAAAGGATGTCACAAAGCACAGGCCTGAGACACCCGCATCCATCGAATTCCTGCATGTCTGCATGACCAGGTCGTCACTCCATCTAGTGGAGGGACGCCCTACACTTCGTCCGCCGGTACGAGGCCACCACTCGAGAACCTTTTTTCCCCATCGGTTGTCGGTTCTTCAAGTTATATGGCCGGCCCATTCCCACTTCAGCTTACTAATCCGTCAGGCTATGTCGGTCAATTTAATTAAACTACGGATATCCTCATTTCTAAGTTTATCACGCAGAAAAACTCCGAGCACAGCCCTCTCCATAGCTTGCTGAGCGACCTTGAGCTTCCTCATACGGCCAGCAGTAAAGACCCACATCTCAGTTCCATAAGTCATCACTGACAACACGCACTGGTTGTACAGTCTCGTTTACAAGTTTTGAGGTATACCTGACGAGAAGATATACTGTAATTTCCCGGACGCTGGCCAGCCGAGTTGAATCCATCGATTGACCTCTCGGTCGAAGTTGGACTTACCTAGTCAGACTATTTGTCCCAGGTAAACATACTCGTCAACAACATCGAGCTTAGTGCTCCCAACAATTATCGGCATAATTGTAATAATGTGACATGAACGTTATACGTAATCTTTGTTTTGTCTATGTTCATCTTAAGACTTATCCGTTGGAAGACACTATTGAGGTCATTGAGCATAGTGCTTAGGTCCTCCAGCGATTCTGCCATAAGGACTATATCGTCGGCAAACCGAAGGTGAATGATGTACTCGCCATTATTGTTAATACCGTATCCTTTCCAGTCCAGAAGCTTGAAAACATCTTCCAATGCAGCGATGAAGATTTTCGGGGATATAACGTCACCCTGTCTTATACCTGCAGTTGAATAGGTTTCCAACTCTGGTTCTGTACTCGGATAGCCATCGTAGCCCTACTGTACAAACACTTCAGCACTTCGATATTACCGACAGTCAACTTAACACCGCCGAAGGGACTGCAGCACCGTCCAAATTTCTACGGAATCAAAGGCTTTCTCATAATCCACTTACGCCAGACATAGTGGCAAATTGTACTCCTCAGAGTTGTGTAAATTTGCCGAAGTCAAATGTGAAACTTCGGGAATATAAAAAAAGTTAATATACGCGATAAAACCCATAAAAACTAGTTTAATTTAAATATGTAGTGTTCGTGTAATAAAATAGTTAATATGTATTGTTTAAGTTAGTTGCAGTTAGCATAGAATGTAAGCATAGTAATTGCGACTTACAGCCGGGCGTGTTGACGCAGAGCTGGTGGCAGGGCCCCCAGTCGCGGCACTCGTCGCGGTCCCGGCAGGCGCGGCCGTCGGGCGCCAGCTGGCGGCCCGCCGCGCACGCGCACACGCCGCCGCTGGGCGACGCCACGCACTTGTACTCGCAGCCCAGCGCCGGGCACGACGACATAGCTGCACACACACCATTTTTGACATCAATACGAGTACATGCTTTAAATTTGCTTCCATATTGGGAACACATTCAGATATTTTTATAAATAAATACATATTTATTATATTTATTTATTCTTTATTGCATTCCTTTTAAAAAATAATACAAAGGGCGGACTTAATGTCTTGTGGCATTCTCTACCAGTCAGCCATGGAGCGGTGAGATTTTGACGTAGGTGTAACAATATAGAATAAAAAACAAAAATACTTTCAGTTTGTGCACAGACTAATTTTAATATAGATACAGCAACGTAGCATAGAGTTAGTTAGCTAGTTTAATGTAATATAACTATTAGATTTAATGTTAACTTTGCTTAATTACGTAATAGTGATTATAAGTTATAAAATAAGTACTAAATTATGTACGGGGATTGTTCGCGAGTCAACTTATATAATTCCGACAGAATATCAGCGCTGCAGTAACTTTATTACTGCAACATTATGCTGAGTCGGTGACCTTTTTGTTGCTGCAATCCATTTTTGTCTTTTTAATATTTTGTTTGGTATTTTTTTGTCTGTAAAACAATTGTTTATAAAAGCAAGTTGCAGAAATAAATAAATATGTTCTTTCTCTCTTTCATTACAACACTTCACAAGTCCACTGCTGAAGCTGATCATAGCCCCCCCTCCCCAAAGGAATGTCACAATAACAGTCCTGAGCCACCTGTATCCATCAACTTCCAGCATTTTGCATCTAATAGGGTATCACCTTACAATTCATTTACAAGTACGAGGCTGTAACTCGAGAATCTTTCTTTTCCATCGGTTGTCGGTTCATCGGGCTATATCTTATAATATTATAATAAGTTTTGCTTATTAAACTTGCTTAGTTTCTTGCCGGTTGTTCTCAGGACCGAGGTACTTTTCGACAATAACAAAAAACACTGTCAATGAGAGTAATACGTAGTAAGCTATCTATACAAATAAATAAAATTGAAGTGTCTGTTTGTAATGTCAAAATTACAGTTTTTTACTAAATGCATATGAAAGTAAATACGGTACCTATAACTAAAATACAATTTTTAAAATTTTTGTCTGTCTGTCTGTCTGTCTGTCTGTCTGTTTGTTCCGGGTAATCTCCGAAACGGCTGGACCGATTTTGACGGGACTTTCACTGGCAGATAGCTGATTTCATAAGGAGTAACTTAGGCTACTTTTATTTTAGAAAAATAATTAGGGTTCCGCGCAAAAACATAAAAACCCTAACACGCGAACGAAGTCGCGGGGCACAGCTAGTCTGTAAATATTTATCAATTAAAAATAATATATCTACTCTACTCTATTCACCACACAGATAACACAGGTGATGCAATAACTTGTATAAATGATTACAAGCAAAAATTAAAGTAAAAGTTTAAAAAGTTAGAAAGCCAACTTACAGCAAGCAGACTCCTCGTCGGCGTTGTCCTCACAGTCCCTTTTACCGTCGCAGAGCTGTGACCTTGCGATGCACTTGTGTACGCCGTCCGGTCCGCCCTTAGGGCACAGGTACTTGTTGTCGGGGCAGGCGATGGCGGTGCAGTTGGCTTCGTCCGAGCCGTCACCGCAGTCGCGGTAGCCGTCGCACCGGTACGTGGCCGGGATGCACAGTGCGTTGCTGCAGCGGAACTGGCCGATGTGACACGGCGGGAAGCCTGTGGTCGCAAATAAAATAAATTATAACAATTCTGTATATCCTTATTTGCAACACGTACACATGGGATTCATATTCGCAATTTAGTTCTATATAAAACAAACAACCTAAAGGGGTGACAACGCATCTGCATTATGATTCTTGATCGAGGATAAATGTAGTTGTTTATCGGCCACAGCATCCACTTACCATCAGGTGTACTGTGTGCTTGTTTGTCATCTACTCTATAATAAAAAAAAGTTCAACCAATGGTAATGGTACATGCATGCTTTGGTGTACTTGTAACGCTGCGTAAAATATGTTAATGTGTTTTGAGTATCAAAAGTGTTAAAAGACCCGTATTGGTTCCTGGAAGTTATGGCAACCCTAACTATAGGATACGTCCAACAAACTGCAAAGACAGATTACGTTATCATCCCTAATCTGCTTATCCTTCTAACCTTTACATAGACTTTTAAGCAGATAAGAAGTTTTTATCCGCATCTTCTTGATAACAATTGAAACTAATACAAACTACGGTTGCCAACCCGCCTGCCAACCGTGGCAACTATGGCAAATATCCCCTTTATGAGGTAATCTATGAGTGGACTTATTTTATTTTTAATTGCTATCAGTGCTGCTTATTCTCCTAGTTTGTTTCTCTCTATCGTCTCCAACGACAGAACGATGAGATAGTGGATATTTTTACAACGCCTATACACGCTTACGGTTGAAATAAACAAAGTAATAACAGGAAATATTTTATGAATTTATTCAGTATGGGTTAATTTTACGCATTTATGAGCATCGCATTCAACTATCACCCAATTAAGGCTTCAATAAAGAAAGTAACTAAATAAACTCGCGATACCATCCCATATCATATGGATGTTAGGCGGTCTAACACTATTCGACTTACTAGAAATTTTCTTCCTCGCACAACTTCCTCGTGGACTAGCACCAGTGATTTTTCCGGACCTTTTTTAAAAGGCTGACAACGCATTTGCAATTCCCTTGGTTTTACAATAAGTAGGTCATGGGCGTAGCGCGACGTTAGTCACTTACTCTTATAAAAAAATTATAAAAAAAAAATGTCGAAAGTAGAAAGAGGGTTCGTACTGCAATGTGCTTCATCTGAGTTATCGCCGCAATCATCCGTGTGATCGCACTTGACGGATACGTCGACACACTTCTCCCCATTCGCGCACCGGAACTGGTCCAGTCGACAGGACAGCGTCTGCCCTGGGCAATCTTGTTCGTCTTTACCGGACCGACAATCTAGGTACCTGGAGATATTACAACAGTTTTATCAATATAATACAGAAGAAAACCTGAGACCCTTTTCACTGTTAAGAAGGCATTCCATAATAGTCCTCAGGGGTGTCAACGCACCTGCATTTTGATTCTTAATAGAGGATAAATGTAGATGTCTATGGGTTACAGCAACCACTTACCATCATGTAGACTGTGTGCTCGTTGGTCACCCTTATTCTATTTAAAAAAAAAGATTTAAGAGATCTATTTTATTCAGTGAACGTTCAGTGCCAAGCAAACGGAGAAATCTTGGAATCACTAAAATATGGTAGATAATAAAGAACAAACTCGTCTAAATAAAAAAGAAAGCATATCGTAAAATGCACAAAGGTAACTCTGCTTACGTAAGCCTACGTATTATCACATAAAAACTCATACAATAGCGTAAATATAAAAGACATCCGAATGGCGCTATAACGTTAGGAGTACTCAAGACGTGTACATTACCCGTCACATTTCTTCTCCTTTGGTATACACAGGCCCTGCGAGGACGCTTTTCCGGATCCCCCGGTCTCCACACCGCACTGAAAGTCGTCTATCTGACATTTACGGTACGCTGGAACAAAAGGAAAATTATATAAATATAGATTAGTATTAATAAAATATAGGTAAGTAGTATTAAAATTATATAAAATATAGATAGCCCAGGAGGAATCGGCGCATGAGTACCGAAAACTATTTTAGCTCAATTTTTTTATGCGATTGTCTTCAAATAAGTCACATTTATATCATCTACTGATCATATTTCAAACTTGTTATTTACAAACGGCACATTTTATTTTAAATATTTTTGATGAAATACAAATAAGGAAGTCAATCACTTTTTAAGATAAATTAACGTTTTCAGAGTTATGAATTTTTAAAGGTTTGAAAAATCTGAAATTGGGATACTTGTGACCCATTAAAAAAATACCGAAGGGAAAATAATAAAATATAAAAGATGTATTTTTTATATATTTTTTGATAAAATGTTCTATGACCTTTTACGATTACGTTAATATTTGCGAAGATATATATATTTTTAAAATTTAAAATTTTAAAATAAAATCCCGAATTCAGATAATTTTGACTCCTTAAAAATATATAAAAAGAAAGAATAAAACATAAAAGATATTTTTTGTATTCTTTGATGAAATAGGAATAAAAAAGGTCCAATAAATTTTTACGGTACAGCTAATAATTTCGGAGTTATGAATTTTGTATAGCATGAATAGGTCGGCTCGACCGGGGTAGGATCACGCTCTCACAAAATACCACCGTAAAATAGCAGCTCAATGCTGCCGTGTTTAGTATGGTGACTGTAGAGAACCGGAGACCCTTTTTACTGGAAATGAGGCATTCTATCTTAGTTCTCAGGGATGACAATACATTTGTATTTTGATTTTTAATCAAGGATAGATGTAGTGTTCATTGTTCACAATATACACTTACTATCAGATAGTCTGTGTGCTCGCATGTTACCCATGTTCTATATAAAAAATATACAACTAATCCACCAAAATGACAACAGAATTTTAGCAATAAATGACTGACCACAAACGAAAAGAGAGACAGCGGAGTTACAGACACATAATGTTCCTTAAACTGCCTCTTGAACAATTTTGTAGCAGGCCTTATACGTGCCTGATATCATTTATTCTATTCAAAAAAGTACAAATGAAATTTCTTTTCAGTTGAGCCATTCGTATATTCATTGTATTTTCAATGAAAACCCGCTAAACAAATCCTCGTTCAAATGCCATTAACATATTATGCTGCGGCGAGTTCTACATAATGCATTACACGCTCCAGTCTTGTCTATATTAAGATGTAGTCTTCCACACGTCTCGGTTTTTACGGCGGACTGCGGAAAAGGCGGTGGCCCGGCTCAGTTAATGCAATCTCCATACAGAGTTATGTAAAAACCCTGACTGAGTGCGCCTTTGAGCGGCTAGTGGCTTAGAAAGCGTTTCCGACGCCGCTTTGTGCAATTTCAAATATCATCATTTTTTAGGGTTCTGTGGACGGTATTAAGGAAATTAAATCCGTTATAGGGAAATTTTTTGGATCGCAGAGTGGAATTAAAATGATGTTATTTTAACAGTGTTAGAGTGACTAACGATTGGTGCGACGTGAGACAACCTATTACTCGTACCTGACTTCGTCCCATGGTTGATTAAAGAAAATGCTAGAATGAAATCTTCATCTCTTATCTTTCAAGTAGCGCGTCCTCTGCAACTTTGCGGCATATATTTATATTAGAATAACTTATGAGACTAACTGTAAACAGACGATTTATTTATTGGCGGGAAAACAACAAAAGGTTGAACAAAATTAAAAAAAAAAAGTAAGTTTTACAAACGAGCACACAGTCCACCTGATGGAAGTTACTGCGGTGGCTCATAGACGCTTACTTATTTTTATCTTCGATTAAGAATAAAATCGAATAAAGAATAAACAAAATTCGTTCTCACCCTTGAACACTAGGAAATGATACCTCGGTACTAATAAAACGGTCCCCGGTTCCACTCACAAACCATACGACACACATCAGCAATTAAGGTGCTGTTTTAAGCTGGTATTCTGTGCTAGCGTGGTCCTTCCCCGGTCGAAGCGACATATTCATTCTGCAACTAAATAGCTGCAGCGTGGCTCTACCACGTACAAAATTATTAGATCAGACAATTTTATATATGTTATATTTAATTTGTATTAAAGCGTGTATATCTCGCGAAATAGTTCCAGCAGCGTTAAGCGGATGTGCAGTTGCGGGTTCCACTGTGTTTACACACGGAATTTGTAACGAAGTCTGCCCAAACTCTGTGCAAACAAACTCAGTTTTTATTCACGGCGACTAGTCTGTAAATATGGAAACTAGCGTCTAACTGTTAACGAAAAATTTTTACAGTTAATATTGTTTTCAGCTATATTTAAAAAAAATTGAATAATACTAGTCAATAATAATTAATACCACGAGAGTGGCGAATTACAATTGTTGCTAACAAGAGCTACGATGTTATCAATGATGGTATTCTGCCAATATACTCAAAAACATTTATGAATATATTACTTCCATAACAGGTATTTATGCTGTATTTATCCCTTCGCATTATTACATATGTATTACATATAAACATCCAGAGCTAGAACAATTATTTCTAAGGGATAAAACAGTTGTTCCATGTGATTTCGGAAAAAAAATTCATTGGAATCAATCCTGGTATTGCTCTCTATATATTCGTAAAGTTTCTTCAAAATCTGTTCAGTCATTCCAAAGATTAGCCCAGATAGACACACAGATAGACTAGAAATTTTAAAATGCTAATTCATTTTTAATAGCATGCGAATAACCCCTTAGCTTAATAATAGATAACAGTTATTTAGTTATTTATATATTTATTTAAATTTATATATTTAGGTACACAAAGCAGAATAACATCAAAACATGAACAATTGAACATAATAAATGCAAAATTACAATTTGGATGGTATTCCAAAACATGCACACAACATGATATTAGGTAACAGTAACGAGTTTACAGCGCAAATACTTTAAACGTATATACTTATAAACCTAAGTTGTGGAAAATTTAGAAAAATTAATTCTTTATTAAAATATTGCCTTATTTACTAAGTATAATATCAAAAAAATCAAAAATCAAAATCAAAAATCTTTATTCTCAAACCAGTAATACTTAAAATTAAATACATTATTGGAACACTCCTTTTAAGTCAAGAAACTTGTGTTAGGAGGCTCCGCTCTTCCCGTCTTTCATTTATATAAATTAGTGTTTAGAACTTGGGTAACACATAGATTTTTGACTTACAGTTAAAATTATGTAGTATTTTTACAATAAAATATCCGTTGGTGTTAGTTGTGTGATTGTGTAGTGTATGTGTATGTGGTGTGTGCATGTTGAGGTATGGTATATTTAGTAAATTATTAATTATGTGTAACAAGTTAAGTAATTTTGTCTAAAAGTGTTTCGGTTTCGTTGTAATTTAAAGTTTTCAACCATTCTATTGTTTTCTTTTTAACTTCTATGCTATGCAATGGATATATGCTTAAGATTTTATTTATTTTATTATATAAGTATACTGCCCTTTTCTCATATTGTATTGAAGCAAATGTCATTTTACAGCGATCGGTATATAGAACTAAGTCTTTTCTTCTTTTGTTTGTCTTGTCACGTTCATACCTAGTAGATTTGTGAATTTTAAGCAATAAGAATAAAATATATAACTTTCGAACTGACAAGACCCCAGACAAATTATAAAGGTCAGTAGTGGGGAATCGGTATGGTTTGAAATAGCAGACCTTAAGTAGGGCTCTTTGAGCTCGCTCAACCTCAATGAATCTTGTTTTTAAAGCTCCTCCCCATACTGGGATACAATAAGTAAGAACAGATTGAGCCAGTGCTGTATATACTTTGTTCAGTAATTCGTTGGTTGTTACATGTCTTAACTTTTTGAAAATCCACATTAATTTTCTTATGCGGCCAGTTATTAATTCAATATGGTTATACCAAGACAGTCTCTGGTCAATAATAACACCTAAATATTTTGTTTTGTCCACTCTATAAATAACAGCACAGTCACAATTAAAAAGTAGGCTGTCTTGGCAAGTGTGTATTTTAATGCTAAAGTTGGCTGGTGGTTGAGTGTGATTGCAAATAGCAAAACAAATATAATTTGTTTTATGCGTGTTTAATGAGAGTAGGTTGTTATTTAACCAGGCTGCTATAGTTTTAAGTCCCGATTCTGTACGCATTTTCACTTCCTCCCAAGTGTCTCCCGAAAAAGTAACAGCTGTATCGTCAGCATAGGAGAAGATGTGACCGTGAGGAATAGAAAGTTTGCACAGCTCATTAATATAGACCAAAAACAGCGTAGGCCCTAAGACGCTACCCTGAGGGACGCCGAAAATAACATTTTCTTCGTCACTCAACACAGCGTCCACATGAACACGCTGAGTGCGCTCATGTAGGTAGCTGAACATCAGGTTTAGCGAAGTATCCCTGAAGCCGATAAGCTCCAAACACTTTAAAAGATCGGGAATAGAGACCGTTTCAAAAGCCTTTCTTAGGTCTAAAAATACTGTAATACACTTTTTGCCATTATCTAAATTCTTTACGATTAAAGAGCTTAATGTGAGAATAGCGTCTTCTGTGGAAAGTTGTTTCCTAAAGCCAAATTGTTGATTTGATAAAATATTATATTTATTTAAGTAGTTTAATATCCTAGTATTTAAGATTTTCTCTACAATTTTGGACAAAGCTGGTAGGACAGAAATAGGGCGGTAGTTATTTATATCGTCTCTGTTTCCACTTTTATAAACAGGTGTTACTAATGATTGTTTAAGTGCGTAAGGAAATATACCACTCGTAAAACAGAGGTTTATAAGGTAAGTGAATACGGGCACAAACAAATCCTTTCCCAACTTCAAAAACCTGTTTGGAATTTTATCCCACCCGGAAGCGCTATCAGAGTCAAGACTCATCAACACCCTCTCTACTTCAGCATTATCTGTTTCGAGCAAAACAAAAGAGTTTAGGAGTACAGTAGTAGAAGTGGATT